GCTCGGCTGCTTTCATCAAGCTGGTGTTAGCTTATTGGGCTGTGGTTGCCTCCGTTTGTGACCAAGCTCCTAGTGGTGTGTCGTCGTCCCCCTCCCACTGCTGCCCAGTTATTATCCCATTGCTGTTTGGGTTGCCATAGGATCCTGATACCACACAACGGTTTCCTTATTCCACATCCCTGGGTTTCAGACATCACAGCTGCAGGGAATCAGAGCAGCCACAACAAAACAGAGCTCGCCGCTCTCGCAAACACACCTCCATCCTGAATACAATACAGCAGACCCCAAATAAATTAGCGGAGGGGTAGGGTGGCGGCTCTGCTTAATTGCAGCTCCTGGTTGTAGGTGGGGCGGTTCGGCAACAAAGCCTGTATGTGGGGGGGGAGGGGGAGAAGAGGCGGAGACGAGAGGCGCCAAAGTGACTTCAGCGTCCAGATGAGCCCAGATGGCTTCAAACGATGCCAAGTGGGGAACAGAAGGCCTGCGCGTCCTTCCCACCCTATTAACGTAGAGAAGGAGGGAACCCAAGACCCTCTCCAAGCAGCTTATTGGGATTGGGTTTCACCTGTGGCTCTGACTCAACATGCAGGTGTGCAGGCTGCCTCCCCACCCGGTCAGAGATTTGTTGTTGGGGTTTTTTTTAAAGCCTGCAAGAGGGATTAAACAGCAAACCTGGGAGATGTGTGTCCTCATCATCAACATCAAGTGATACCATGTTATCACTTGAGCTGTTCTCCCTGGCCAAAAAATCCCACTGGGAAAGATTATTCTTGCTTGTGTTCTTCCCAGCTGATCGCCTTTCAGGTCTTGATGCCTGAACACCTTGAATGCCCACTTTTATGTACACCACTTAGAGAGGCAAATTATTAAGTGTCATTTAGTCGTGTCCGACTCTTCGTGACCCCATGGACCAGAGCCCGCCAGGCACTCCTGTCTTCCACTGCCTCCCACATTTTGGTCAAACTCATGCTGGTAGCTTCAAGAACACTGTCCAACCATCTCATCCTCTGTCGTTCCCTTCTCCTTGTGCCCTCCATCTTTCCCAACATCAGGGTCTTTTCCAGGGAGTCTTCTCTCCTCATGAGGCATATAGATGTCTTAAAACGAAACAAAACAAACAGCAACATAATAATGATAGGGTTTGAGGACAGTTCACAAAGTGGCTTCAGCTGATACTACAATTGCGACTGTGTGGGGGTACTAAAACTGTATGTTGCCAAATTAGTGTTTCATGTTGTGCCTTCCTTTTTTTTAACTGGGCACTGCTCCCTTTTGAGGCCCTTATTTCATTATTTATTTCTAAGTACAGTGGTACCTTGGGTTAAGTACTTAATTCGTTCCGGAGGTCCGTTCTTAACCTGAAACTGTTCTTAACCTGAAGCACCACTTTAGTTCATGCGGCCTCCTGCTGCTGCCGCACTGCTGGAGCACAGTTTCTGCTCTCATCCTGAAGCAAAGCTCTTAACCCAAGGTACTATTTCTGGGTTAGCGGAGTCTGTAACCTGAAGCGTATGTAACCCGAGGTACCACTGTATCCTAATAACCATGCCCTTCAGTTTAAAATAAAACTTCTAGCCGACAGGGTGGCTTCTTTCTGATGCTGTTAGACTACAACTCCCATGATTTCAGACCATGGATCATGCTGGGGCTGATGGGAACTGGAGTCCAACAGCACCTGGAGGGGACCACGTGGGATATATCTGTTCTAGGGGGTCTAACAGCACAGAAAACAATTTCAAAACAGCAACACAAAAATTACAAAAATAATGACTACAAACCAACTGTGCAAGGTATAAAGATAGCAGGAGCCATGTTCAAATCTGAAAACAGATGAAAGTTTTTTTCCACTTTAGGCTGTGCTTCGTTTACTCATTTTTTTACAGGGCATCCGCACATCGGCAACTTCAAGTCATCCTGTAACTCTCCTGAGATTCTTCTCTTTTCTTGGACTGTCGTTTTTTTAAAGCACAGAAAAGTAGAGCGATCTCCATAGGTGTAGGTGCCTTTACCATTATTCTCCTGTCTCAAACTGCATAGGGCAGCGGCTGGTGGGTGGGAGGAATGACCTGTGGCCCTCTAGATCAGGTACAGGCAAACTCAGCCTTCCAGATGTTTTTGGCCTACAACTCCCATGATCCCTAGCTAACAGGACCAGTGGTCAGGGAGGATGGGAACTGTAGTCCCAAAACATCTGGAGGGCCGAGTTTGCCTACGCCTGCTCTAGATATTGTTGGACTCCAACTCCCATCAGCACCACTCAGTGTGACCCCTGGTCAGGGATGATGGGAGATGGTAGTCTGGCAACTTCTGGAGAGCTACAGGTTCCCTACTGCATACGGCTTTAACCAGAACTTCAAATTGTACTTGGATCTTACAGCTGTTTGTGTTTTACTATTACCAAAAAATAAATCCAGCATTTCTGACAAATCATTGTGGCTGCTGCCTGGGTGTGTGTGTGTATGTGTGTGCACGCAAAGGGCAAGCAGGAAGCATCCCTGGGGTCAAGGAGAGATTGCAGTTGGCACTCGAACCTTCAATTTTCTCCCTGTTTTGATCTTCTGATGCTAGGAACATCCCCACAAACAGGAGATCACACAGAGGTGGGTTTTAGAGTCAGAACGGACCTAGATTCAGGTGGGAGGAGGAAGGCTTTAGGAGGAATTGGCGCTGGTGAGGGGCTCTGTTCTTGTCTCCAGGACACATACAAGTTCACAGGTTTGAATTTCTTGCCCACCCCTCCCTTTGCTGACACCTGGCACCTCCCCTGCCCCTCAAAACATACCCTCTGGCACCTGTTTTCCCTCCCCTCCTTCAAATTTGAGCCAGAATGGCTGGAAAACACCGGTCTTTGGGGACATTGGGGTATTTCCACAAGCACCTGCATCTTAATTGGAGACAAGGTGAGATACTGGCAGATTTCCCCATCCTGCCCAGTGGCAGATGGGCAGGATCATATTTGCCAAACCACAAGCGAATGGCATCCTTTTGCCACCCTAGGGCTAAGAACAGACTCTGTGTGAGTGTGTGGCTATGTGCGTCTTGCCATTAGTCAAAGGCACCCTGCCAAATATAACCCAAAAGCTGTCAAATTAATAGCCAGAGTTTTGTTTGCTTGTGTGGCAGGTGATTCCATGAAAACATCAAACTTAGAGAGCCATTTTCCATCTTCACATATAGTTAACAGGTTATATATGGAATCATAGAATTGTAGCGTTGGGAGGGATCCTAAAAATCACAGCTAAATGATCTCTGGCAGAATGGCCATCCAACCTTTGTTTAAAGACCTTCAGTGAAAGAGAATCCACCATCTTTGGAGGTAGTCCGTTCCAATGTTGAATATCTCGTTACATTTAATATAATTTTAAAGATAATTTCCCAAAGTTTCGTGATCTGTTTTTAAAAATGGCATTTTACATGTGAGTAAAACAACCAGAAGCATCACATGCAAGATAACTCAGAACATCTCTATTCCACCCCCCTAAAATTCAGATAAAACCCTCTTCAAGAAAACATTGAGGCATTATCTACAATGAATTTTAAAAGACACTAAAATATAATTTCAGCAAAAAACCAGAGGCATTCCTATTAGGGCTCATTGGTGAAGAAATTTATAAAAAAAGATGTAAATCTATTTATGAATTCCACAACGGCAGTAGGCAGCAGCAAGAACTCCCTACATTGGAAGACTGGAGAATAAAAATGCTAGAATTTGTGGAGTTGGCAAAGCTGAGGGGAGAATTAGGAATTGTCCTGAAGAAAAATATCAAAAGGACTGGAGCAAATTTATTCATTACCTGAAAGAAAATTGTACACATTTAAAAACGTTTGTAGCATTAACGTGAAATGTTTTGTAATGTGAAATTAAGGTGCTGATTTATAAATAAGAATGCGATCTTTAAAGGTGATTATAGGATAAAGAAGTGATTATGGGAATGCGAAAGATATGTTATAGACTACAGGGATGTCAGAAAGAGAGATAGAAGGAAGTCAAAGCTCACTTTGAGCAAATAATATAAGTTGTGAATAAAAAGGTAAAGGTACCCCTGCCCGTACGGGCCAGTCTTGACAGACTCTGGGGTTGTGCGCCCATCTCATTCAAGAGGCCGGGGGCCAGCGCTGTCCGGAGACACTTCCGGGTCACGTGGCCAGCGTGACAAGCTGCATCTGGTGAGCCAGCGCAGCACAGGGAACGCCGTTTACCTTCCCGCTGGTAAGCGGTCCCTATTTATCTACTTGCACCCGGGGGTGCTTTCGAACTGCTAGGTTGGCAGGTGCTGGGACCAAGCAACGGGAGCGCACCCCGCCGCGGGGATTCGAACCGCCGACCTTTCGATCGGCAAGCCCTAGGCGCTGAGGCTTTTACCCACAGCGCCACCCGCGTCCCAAGTTGTGAATATGTATACTGAATTAAATGAAATATGGAAAAATTCAATAAAAATTATGTTATAAAAAAAAAAAAGAATCATGGAGATGGAAGGCATAGCTGTCAACTTTCCCCCCTTTTTAAGGGAAATTCCCTTATTCCGAATAGGATTCCTCGCAAGAAAAGGGAAAAGTTGACAGCCATGCCACAAGGGCCATCCAGCCCTGAGGAATCTCAACTAAAGCATCACAACTAAAATAAAATAAAAAACGAAGACAAATTTTATGTATGGTAAAGCCGAAACCCCTTACTCAGAGTAAACCCCATGGGCCTTACATCTGCAGAAGAGTGTGCTTTCCGTCTACTAAAGTGACTATCAACTCGCTCGCAATGACTGCGGCATCATAGAACCGTAAAGTCGGAATGATCCCACAGGTCATCTAGTCCAACCCGCTGCAACCCCGGAATCTTTTGCCCAACAGAGGTTGCAGGATGCCTCCTGTTCATTGAGCCTCCCATGTGGAAAGGAAAAAAAATTATGAGCCTGTTATACACCTGTCACCATCTAGTGGCGATTTTTCTCAGTGCAGTTTTATATCTCCCGCCACCAGGCAACCTTCCGGCTCCTCCTCTTCTGGCTCCGCCTGCAAGTTCCGCTGGCGCCGCTCCGGGTCAGGCGCGCGATTTCTTGCTTCGCAAAGGGCGCCGCGTTTTGCGCCGCTTCCTCCTCCACGGATGGCTCCGCTCAGGCTGCTCGGGCCAGCCCTGGGCTGGAGGCTCGCTGCTGCGGCAAGGCCCGTTTATCTCAGCAGGTAAGGGGGATCTACACCCCGCGGAGGAAACTTGACAGTGCCCTATGGCTCGGGGCCGCCCGCCTCCCTCGCCCTCAAGGATTCCCATGACTTGGGTTTCGTGCCAGGCAGAAATCCAACGGGTCAAGCCTACCCCTTCGCAGCATCTCCGGGCGGCGGGCGGGGAGGAACTAACGCTGCTGAATTTCCGCCTGGCGTGAAGCTTTTAACTGCACCGCTTTTCTGCCAGTAAGCAAAAACGGAGCAAGGAAGCAAGCCCTGCTTCTTAGTGATTTATGTCAGTGACTGAGCCTTGAAGCGGGGGTGTCTAACTTTTTTGCCCTCCAGGTACCATTGAGAGGCAGCCGTCACCATCTCCGACCATTTAAGCCCTGTTTAGGGAAGCTTTTAATGTTTGATGTATTTTAATATTTTGATGTATTTTAATATTTTTTTGGAATATTTTAATATTTTTAAAATATTTTGGGGAAGCCGCCCAGAGTGGCTGGGGAAGCCCAGCCAGATGGGCAGGGTATAAATAATAAATTATTATTATTATTATTATTATTATTATTATTATTATTATTATTTATTTATTGGCAGTGCAGGCCGGGGCTGATGGGACTTGGAGTCACCACGTACCCGTTCTGCACGACGTCAGCTTTCGCCACCTTGGTGCCTTCTATATATTTTGTTTTAATTTTTTTATATTTTAATCAAAGTAATAATAATAAATAAAAGTGTGCACCCCCCCAGACCACTCCATTGTAACTATCCAGCCTCCCCAAATTTCAACACCTCTTGCGATGGTTTGACCCCTTTTCTTTTTAACAGTACAAATACTATAAATACCTTCCATATCTTTTTTTTGTTTGTTTTTTTTTTAATATTTTATTAAGGATTTTCTTGTTTTACAGAAGTGTAGTGCCTCATATATATTTTTCCCCATGTAACATTTTTACAAATCCGTTTCATTTGTTGAGGCATTAGGGGGAGAAGAAAATAAAAATAAAAATAAAAAAGGAGAGAAAAAAGAAAGGGGGGTGGAGAGGGGGAAGATGGATAAGGGTGGGATTGGGTGGCGGTGTTTCTATTATGTTTAATGTATGTAGAGTTTGGTGTCAGCGTGCTTGTGTTGTTCACTTGTGTTCCTTTGGTGGTGAGAGAGGTTGGGGTTGGCCTAGGGTGTGATTGTTTGCTTGTGATTGGCTGTGGTGATCTTTGTTTTTGTGTGTGAGTGAGGTGGGTGGGTGTTTTGGATCAGGTTAGCCATATTGATTTGTATGCTGTTGGTGGATTATTGTCATTGTCCTGTTGGGCTTCATCCTACCCCTTCCAGATGTTTTGGACTACAACTCCCATCAGCCCCTGCGAGCACAGCAGATGGGCAGTGCTGTAGGGTGCTGGACATTTGGAAGGCACTAGGCTGCCTGAGCTTGCTTTAGCTTATGTTTAACAACAACAACAACAACAACAACAACAATAATAAAGAAGTACTCTTCAGTACACGCAGAGTATATTTTTATTCTGCACAATTAATTTCTGAAACCACTGAGTTGCTGCGGCCAGCTCAAGCATATCCATGATATCCTGAGTGCTATGCTTGGAAGCAAAGAGCAAGAATAGGAATATTTCTGCAAAGCAGCTGCTTTTAACCAAGCTTTTGAGATGGGATGACTTCTGTATTGTTATGATCTTGTATTTTGTAAGCCTTCTTGAGTTCCTTTGGTGAAAAAAGGTGGGGTATATGCTTTTCAAGTAAATAAAAAAGCGGAGAGGGACCCAGAACATTTATTATTATTATTATTATTATTATTATTATTATTATTATTATTATTAATTTATTTGTACCCCACCCATCTGACTGGTTAGCCCCAGCCACTCTGGGTGGCTTCCAATGTATATAAAAACATAATAAAACGTCAAACATTTAAATCTTCCCGATACAGGGCTGCCTTCAAGTGTCTTCTAAAAGTTGTGTCGTTCTTTATCTCCTTGACATTTGACGGGAGGGCGTTCCGCATAGAAGGCGCCATTGCCAAGAAGCCCCTCTGCCTGGTTCCCTGTAACCTCACTTCTCACAGTGAGGGAACTGCCAGAAGACCCTCGGAGCTGGACCTCAGTGTCCAGGCTGAGCGATGGGAGTGGAGATGCACTTACAACAGGGCTGAGGCCTTTTAAGGCTTTAAAAGTCAACGCCAACACTTTGAATTGTGCTCGGAAACATATAATTTTATTGAAACTTTCCAGCACGTTATGAAAATGAAACTAATCTAAATAAAAATAAAGAGGAAACAAAAAAAGAAAGAAAACGAGAGAGAAAGTGGGATATGAGAGAGAGCGCTCTATCAGGGGTAGACCTTAACCCTTATATCGCACAGAAGAAGGTAGACCCTCTTGAGCTCTCGCCACCCAGCAGTGATCCTGAGCACACTGTGATTTAGATACAGTCTCAAGTGTCTTCTTCTCCATACCTCCACTGCCAGGCCACCCCAGCGAGGCCACCGCCTGACACCTTCAGATGATGAGCTCTACCAGAAGACCACGATCCAGCACCTGGAGAAGGAATCCCAAGACATCATGTACATAGAAGGCTACAGTGAACGAGGCTTCAACATCAGCGGGAACAAGGTGGTGGGGCCTTGCGCAGTCTTGCCACGAGCCATCCTGCAGTGGAACGTGAGTTTGGGGCAGGGTGGGGCCTTTCAACTCCTCAAGTCAACATCCACCCCGATGCTTGGAAATGCGGACCGTGGTGCTAGGAAGGAGATTCCCTTATCTGCAGACAGGACTGTCAACCCTGGAAGACATCTTTCCAAGTCCTGAGATCCTTTGTTAGATCATTGATCTCACAACCATATCCTGAGCTGTGTAGCGTATTTTTTCTCTTATAAAGTAATTACAAGACTTCCTTTTTCTCCTGTCCTTTCCAGGTCGGCACACATAAGGACATCACTGCTGAGAGCCTCGTCCTGTTCCGCCTGCTGGAGCCTCGAATAGGTACAAGTGCTCTAATTTCCCTTACACCTGGCATGGGGAACCTCTGGCCTGCCAGATGTTGTTGGATTTTATATCCGATCATCCCCAACTTTTAGCTATGCTGGCTGGAGCTGGCGGGGAGTTCTTCTGGTCCAGCAATATCTAGACGGCCGCAGGTCAGCCAACCCACACTTACTGTGCTCTTGTGGGGATGAGAAGGAAGCAAATCGCTGGGAAGACTGTGAGCAACCTGGTTGCAATCATCCAGTTTTACACCTGGATATTGCCCCAAAACATGCTTCAAGCTTGCCACCTGCTCTTCCTCTGAAGAGCAGCTTGCCTTGGGTTCTAGGCAATGTACACAGTCCGCCTGACTTGCCTTGAGCAGTAGACCCCTGGGAAGACCCAGGGGAGATGGTGGAACTCCTGCAGGGAGAGGAAGTTCCGTTGTGCAGGAAAATGAAGTTTCATTGCACAGATGGAAGTCCTTGCACTAATGGGACTTCTTTTTTAAATTCCATTTATACTTTTCAGATACATACATTTCACTGATTTTACATTCATTTTGACGTTTTAAAACTTGGCTTCCTTCCCCCTCTTTCTGCGGTTCCTTAAATTTATTTTTATTACTTTCTGCATATCCAAATTAACTTAACTTGCTCATTTATTTATCATATATATTACACACACACACACACACACACACACACACGTTTCCGTGCGCTACCCTGGTTCGCCAGAAGCGGCTTAGTCATGCTGGCCACATGCTGGCCACATTAGTCATGCTGGCCAGCTGTACGCCGGCTCCCTTGGTCAATAAAGCGAGATGAGCGCCGCAACCCCAGAGTTGTTCGCGACTGGACCTAACGGTCAGGGGTCCCTTTACCTTTATATAACAATAATCCTGCTAGTGTTTTTATCTGTATACAGTTTATCTGTAAATATTCAACAAACCATTTCCATTCTTTTATAAAAAGAAGTTTGTTATCTTGATTTCTTATTCTTCCAGTAAGTTTCCCCATTTCTGCATATTTCGTAAGTTTTTGTATCCATTCTTCCTTTGCTGCGATAATGGGACAACTTCACTGGGGGGGGGAACCCCATTGTGTTTTTATTAAATGATGAAATTAAACTTAAGAGTGGCAAACAGAATTTCCCATCCCTCTCTAAGAAACTGAGAGCATCTTGCTGCTTTGACTTGTATAATAATTATTTTTTAAAATATTTGGTGTTGGCTTTTATTACTAAAGGGGGGGACACACTGCATTAAATTATTTAAGGGAAATGTTTTTTAAAAAGGGGAAATGGAATAGAGGCTGCAAATAGGATTCCTAGCAGCTGATTGGAGCCAAATGAAGCGGCTGGCATGCCAGGCACAAACGGATCATCTTTGCCTCTTGCAGCCCATACCATTGAAGAATGCTCAGGAGGAAGGTTGAACTGGTGTCCGTTCTAATCGCTTTCTGTGGTTTCATCTATTGGCTTTCCTAGAAATCCTGGTCCTGGGGACGGGAAGCAAGGTGGAGCGGCTGGATCCCACTGTCCTGAAGTTAATGCGTCAGTGTGGGATTGCTGTGGAGGTACAAGATACGGTAAGAGGGCCCAAAATGGGGACGAGAAGCAAAGGAGACAATCTTCTCCCTCAGTTCTAGTGCTTGCTTCCTTTGGATCTCTCACCTCTGTATTTGAAGCCCCAGCATTTAGAATCTGGAGCTGGACGGGACATGCTAGCAGCATGGTGTCATAAGCTTAGGAATCAGATTTGGGCCTAATGCTCCCATTCCTGCTGGCAAAGAAATGTTGGCAATATCTGCCAACAACTTAAGGAAAAAGAAGAGGAGTTTGGATTTGATATCCCGCTTTATCACTACCCTAAGGGGTCTCAAAGCGGCTAACATGCTCCTTTCCCTTCCTTCCCCACAACAAACACTCTGTGAGGCTGAGAGACTTCAAAGAAGTGTGACTGGCCCAAGGTCACCCAGCAGCTGCATGTGGAGCGGGGAAGCGAACCCGGTTCACCAGATTACGAGTCCACTGCTCTTAACCACTACACCACACTGAAGTTGTATGGCGATGTACTTTATTTGGGGCAAATCTTATCTCCAGAGCTCCCTGGCTATTTGTTCTTTCCAACACCAGGTTTCTGGCTGCGAGGCCTCTGGTATATTGGTGTGGGTATTTTTCATCCCTTAAAGAGTAGGAACTTCTAGGTATTGATCACTACACAGGTAACATGAGCCGTTTGCTGCAGTGAGATACACTCTGTTCATTGTTGTTGTTTAGTCGTGTCCGACTCTTCGTGACCCCATGGACCAGAGCACGCCAGGCACTCCTGTCTTCCACTGCCTCCCGCAGTTTGGTCAAACTCATGCTGGTAGAACACTGTTCCACCATCTCGTCCTCTGTCGTCCCCTTCTCCTTGTGCCTTCAATCTTTCCCAACACCAGGGTCTTTTCTAGGGAGTCTTCTCTTCTCATGAGGTGGCCAAAGTATTGGAGTCTCAGCTTCAGGATCTGTCCTTCCAGTGAGCACCCAGGGCTGATTTCCCTAAGATTTCCCTCTGTTCATACTGGCTGATTTTGCTGAGATGCACTCTTATCGTTAGATTTGCACTCTGCCTTGATCCATGCCTTGCCCAACCCAAACTTCTAGCTCAGTCAGTAGAGCATGAGACTAATTGCAGGGTGGTGGGTTTGAGTCCCCCACTGGACAGAAGATTCCTGCATTGCAGCAGATTGGATGACCCTCACAGTCCCTTTCCAGAGCTACAATTCTGATTCTTTTTTCGTCTCATTGCTTTCGCAGCCCAATGCCTGTGCAACGTTCAACTTCTTGACAAGTGAGCGGCGTATGACTGCTGCCGGCCTTATCCCACCACCCGGTGTAACACGTGCCTGAATCTCTGAGGGTAAGACCCAGGGGAAGGAAGAGTCTTTGGCAGGGCGAAGAAAGAGACGCTGTTGTCACGCCTGCCATGTTCTTCGTTGCTGCGTTTGAGGGACCTTCCTGTTTGAAAGCAACACAAGCCTTTGTGCCCCGAGGCGTATCTGTCAACCTGTATGAATGAGTGACAAGTCTTTTTTTAAAATACAAGACCCCCAGCATGGCTAATTCTAGAGACAGCTTACTTAACACCCACTTTTGGGATGAGGCCCTGGGGTCTAGAAATGTAAAAAAGAACCGCCTTCAGTTTGATCCACATGCTAAATTAACTTCATGCGGCAACCTGGATTTGAGGATAGAGAGGCAGTCTTTCTTGTGGAAAAAAATCTAGCACTGTGGAGTTTGCACATTAGATCAGCTGATAGATGGAGATTGTTAGTTTCCTGTGTCGTGGTCTAGATGCTATACTACCAATGAGTGCTGGATATAGCAATATTTTCAGTTATTGCACTCCTCGGTGTCTGTTTATGGTCGGCCTGCTTTGAGGGCTGCAGACTCCCCCCAAATAGTTGGAAGGAGTAATTGGATATTCACAAAAAAACAAAACCTGTAATTATTGAAAAGTAGAAGTTCAGGAACTTAGGAAATAATGGAAACCGGGAGTTAGAATGTATTGTACAACCTAAGCAATAAAAAATATATTGGAATATAATACAGAATACTTACTTAGATTTGAGATTGATTCAGCAAAAATTGGCTTTTTGGATATACTGGACGCCACAACTATACAAGAAGGTGCTGTCTAACTCGGACATTTGAAGTGTAATGCTAGAAATATGTTTTAGGCGTATGATGTGGGATTGTCCAATGCTACTGGACTTTCTGAAGTTGTTGTATGTAACAACTTTGCATGAGCAAAATCCTTGATATTCATGGATGTTCGTGTACTTTTAAATTATGTTCCAGTTGTATGGGATTGATGGCAGGACAACAAAAATTGATTTCACAAGCCTTTAGAGTGTCACCGAGTGATTTATACTTCAAGCCTGGAAGGGTAAATATTCACCACCTATTACAGAGTTGTCTAAAGACCTTAAATCCCTTGCTGCATCTGAACGTACTTTCTAGAAACATCAGTTTCATTTGATATATCCTACCCAGCCATCCAAGTGGATATCTAATCTCTCTATATAAATCACAGCAGATGTAATTGATGCAAGCTGACAGGTGTTCCTCCTCCTTTTTGTCTCTCCCCCCCCCCTTAATAATCTTGCAATAAAAATCAATTAAGAAAGAACACAGGACATGCCAATGACAGAGCTTTGGCGATATGGATGGCATCCTTGAGCGAAGTGTGTAATCTTAGCATTTGAGCATGGACTAGCCCAGAGTGGCAAAGATCCAGAATATACTTGAAACAGAATAACGTGGAACTATTATGTGTGTGTTTTCCCAGTCTGTATAAAGGGATTAAGGACCCAGCTGTTACGTGACTCTTAAGTTCTATTGTACTTTATGGGTTGGAAATTTCTGCACAAAGGGAAGAAGTGGGCATCTTCAAGCCCTGTTGCGTAGGCTTTGAGCCAGCCATTCAGCCGCTCCTCACATTGTATGCTTTAAGAAGCATTTTGTGTGGAACCAGCAGTGAATTGCATTTCTGTAGCCCACCTTCCAAGATGCTACAGAACTGGCAGGCGTGCTTTTAAAAAACTATTCTCACAATAACCTTATGAGGTGGGGCAGATAGATTATTTGAACCTGGGTTTTCTCCAATACCCCCCCCCCCATTTCTGAACCACTCAAATTTTATGAAGGAAACTGAAAAAGTAAGCCCAACAACCTTGCACGTGTGTGGGGAGGGGGAGAGAGAGGAAGGAAGGAAGGAAGGAAGGAGGGAGGGAGGGAGTGTGGAAGCCAGGGGAAGGGAGGGAAATGGTGTGACCATTAGACTACTCAAAGGAGATCTTGGGGCCATTTCAGGCACACACACCTCTCGAAGTTCAAATATGTCACAAAGGGGAAAGGAAACATTTATGTGAGTTGTTCTCTGCAGGGCTGGCGCTCTTGATTTGTCATGTCTTAGTCCCAGCAGCTCCCTTGCATGTTGCAGTTCTCTCCCCCCGATGAAACATGCAAACCCACTTGGCATGTTGCAGTAGCAGCAGGCAAGAGGAGCAGAAATTCCTTTTCCCAATGATGCATTCTCTGAATATGAGGGCCCTTTGCTTGTGTTGGCTTATTCACCAGAAACTGCAGATCCTCGCTACTAAGTATTATGAACGGAGGGGAAATAATCCTTGAACTGGATTATTTGCTTCTCTGTAAGGGACCTTCTTGGAAAGATTCGTGTGCCTGTGCTTCCTTAAAAGGCTTGACATCTAAGCATCACTGCCTCTGAACAGGTGGCCCCTTTTAACAAGCCGCAGATCTTTCTGGCAAGAGCAGCCCCGTTCTCCTAAAAGGTCAGACTGCATGCTCAAAGGCTTGGCAAAAGCACACAAGTCCAACTTTACTTGCCCCCTTTACTGTGGGGGTGGTCATTCAGCAATTACGTAAAAGGTACCCTGACCATTAGGTCCAGTAGCGGACGACTCTGGGGTTGCAGCGCTCATCTCACTTTACTGGCTGAGGGAGCCGGCGTACAGCTTCCGGGTCATGTGGCCAGCATGACTAAGCCACTTCTGGTGAACCATGGAAACGCCATTTACCTTTCCACCGGAGCAGTGCCTATTTATCTACTTGCACTTTGGCGTGCTTTCAAACTGCTAGGTTGGCAGGAGCAGGGACCAAGCAACAGGAGCTCACCCCATTGCAGGGATTTGAACCGCCGACCTTCTGACCAGCAAGCCCTAGGCTTTGTGGTTTAGACCACAGCGCCACCCGCGTCCATTCAGCAGTTATTGAACTACAACTCCCATCATCCCTGATTATTGCCCTGCTGGGCAGGAGTACAAGAACAGTTGGGGGATGGGCAACGGTTAGCCACACCTGTTTTAAATACCAGCTACGTTTGGGGCAGGAATGGAGACCCTCAAGCCATAATTATGAAACTATAGTTTGAGGAATGTATTAAAGGCATTGTCTTCTGACCTGTTCATCTGGGTAGAAGCAGCAAGTGGAATGTGACTTTAGCAGAGAAATAATGAGCGGCACAGCACAGGCTGGGGTGGGCTTCTAAAAATAAAAAGGTATGTCTGGATGTACCTATGTAGAGGCCCAGCGGCACACAGTTGGAAGGCTATATACTCTAGTCCACGACTGCCAAAAGAAAAGACACTGAACCCTGCCAAATAGCTGTAATTGCACAAGGAAGAAGTCGTAAGAGGCCTTCTTTGCCTCTTTGTTTTATTGTAAAAAAGAAATACAGAGACAGAGACACAGGACCCCTCTCCAGAGCCTCGTTCAGCTGACACTTCTGGAATAGGCTGATGCGTTTTACCTTCAGCCCCTTGGTCAAAGCGGCTGATAATGCGAAGGGGGAGCAGCAGGCAGCTCCACCCCTCCGGCAAAATGGCACTTCTGTGAAGGGAGCAGTTCATGATCATGGCAGCAAAGGTCAGGCACCACAGGGCAAAAATGAGGCTCAGGGAAAGCGCAAGGGACTTTCATCAGAAAAGGCGTTTTTCATACCTAGGCAAGAGAAGGAAAAGGAAGCTGAAGTTGCGCGCTGTTCACCGGAAGTGGCAAATTATTGCTCTCTTTTACCAAATGGAATTAGATAGGGGCTTCCTGCTTAATTCCACTCCCCTGCTCACAACCTCAGGAGCCGTTTTAAATTAAAGGAAGAAGTGGACGGCAGTCTTGGCCCTTGTCCTCGACTCTCCATTCACAATGTCGGCTCGAACCCAATGATTTTTAAATTTATTTTCTGCTCGGAACTAATTCCTGCCATGGGCTCCAATCCAGAGCAGAAGCATGCTCCAGATTCAGACCCTGCAGCAGCTGCTGCAGCAAAAGAAACAACCCCACTGTTTTTACTACCATACATTTGCATGGTTGCATCATGACCGTAGGCTTGCTTCAGTGCAATGAACCTTGACTGTATCTTCACACGGTCTCCACCTCCAATTACGTACAGTGGTACCTTGGGTTAAGTACTTAATTCATTCTGGAGGTCCATTCTTAACCTGAAACTGTTCTTAACCCGAAGCACCACTTTAGCTAATGGGGCCTCCCACTGCTGCCGTGCCGCAAGAGCACGATTTCTGTTCTCATCCTGAAGCAAAGTTCTTAACCTGAGGTACTATTTCTGGGTTAGCGGAGTCTGTAACCAGAAGTGTATGTAACCTGAAGCGTATGTAACCCGAGGTACCACTGTACTAGTATTGGGTGTAAGAAGAACACCCTCAAAACCTGTAAACCACTTACAGTGGTACCTTGGTTTGCAACCGTTTTGGATTACAACCACATCAAACCCGGAAGTGTGTGTCCCTTTTTTTGGACTACAACCCATTTTTAAAAAAAATACAACCCCCCCTCTTTTTTGGGGAGCCCCATTGGCGAAAGCGCACCTTGGGTTACAACCTGTTTTGGTTTACAACCAGACCTCCGGAACGTATTATGGTTGTAAACCAAGGTACCACTGTATAGTGCAGTTAGAAGTACAGTGGTACCTTGGTTCTCGAACTTAATCCGTTCCGGGAGTCTCTTCCGACTCCCGATCAAAAACCAAGGCACGGCTTATGATTGGCTGCAGGGGCTTCCTGCGCTCAAGCGAAAGCCACGTCAGATGTTCAGCTTCCGAAAAGCATTTGCAAACCGGAACACTTACTTCCGGGTTTGCAGTGTCCAGGACCCGATTTGTTTGACAACTAAGCCGTTCGAGAACAAAGGTACCACTATACTCCACAATTCTAAAAAATCCAAACATAACAAGGGCCTAGCCTCAACAGGAAAGAAACTATCTGGCCCTCTCTGATCAGTTCAGGGTGTTTTCTAACAAACGCAGCCCCTTTCTGCTTTGATATTTGTCCATAGATGCAAACATGGTCGTGTCCTAGTCCTGCTTCAGAAGGTATTAAGAAGCAGCAGAATTGAAAGTAATTGCTGGGCTGGTCCCTTTTTGGAAGTGTCTAAAGCACCTCAGCTACTTCCCTGCACTCCGGATCCTTTGGGATCCTAATTGGTTCTGGCCGCAGGCTGCTTTCAGCCTGGCAGCCAGGAGACACACTTTTCTTTTTTAATTTTGCTGTTTGCTAAGTGCTCTGCTTACTCAAGATGGATCAGTTGCACATAAAAACTTACGAATGGAGGCCATGAATTCCTCCTTCTACTTGGGCAGATGCTGTCCTCTTTTCAAATTTCAGCTCTCCAGAATACATCATGGCCCTGGCGATAAAAAGTCAAGAGAGTGAGAGTGTGTTCCTGTTCCCCTACTAAGAGCCACATTCTTGCAATAATACAGGATGGGAACCATGGTGTGGGCTGACCAACCCATGTGGGCCAATCATGGAAGTGAGGGGCAGGCATGGTCTGCCTGGTAGATTGTGTGTGGCTTGCTCACATGCCTTCAGCATACATTATCCCAAAGTATACAAGATTTGCTGGGGGGGTGGTGGTGCAGAAAGCTCTCACCTCACTTGGGTTAGACTCTTGGCTCCGATATCCTGGCAGGAGTGCTGGATGCCAGCAATCAGGTACGGCATGAACTTGTGAATGGAGCCCTTGTCTTGCACAGCGCCGGAGACCCCCTGTGCCACTTTAATTTTATCTGTCTCGCTGAGAATCACAAAGAACAAGAAAAGGCTTGTGAGAAACTGGGCTTGCAAGCTTTTTCCAAGAGATGGCAAGAAATAAATGTTTATAGTGAAAACAAGGAAGGGTGCACTGCAAGTCTTCCGCCTAAGTCGCCAGATGCCCGCCCCAGATAGAAAAATCTGGGCTTGCTTCTGAAACGCATTGAAGCGAGAGTCTGACGAGCCTTCAGTGGGAGAATGTTCCATGGAGGCGAAGCGGCAGCGGCGAATGTTGGTTTTATCTCATTTTGCTTATGCAGCCCAGCCTGGTACCATTCAAGCAGTCCCTCTGTTAAGGATACACATCTCCTACCTGAAGTATCTATTCTGGCTGCCCAGGTTCTTGTCCATGGCATCGAGTGACCCCATGCCCCGGTACTTCTTCAGCCTGATCCCATCAGAAAAGAAATACTCCCCAGGGGCTTCGGTTGTGGCGGCCAGGAGCGAGCCCATCATCACTAAAGCCAACGAAGAGAGCAAGAGCAGTGGTGTGACGTTCTAGAGAAAGCAAAGCAATGGGGAACTGGGCTTGCACTTCCAGTCTGCTCTAGAGGG